TTGAAGATGTGTGGACTTCAACTCCCAGAATTCCCCAGCCAGCCAGCCATGAAATAAATAAAATTCTCCCCCTCCCCACCCCGATTCTTTCTCTCCTAAATTGCCACCTGCAATGCCAAGCCCAGTCAGAAACAACTAAATGGTTTCCATAGAGAAAAGGAAGCGCCAGAGGTGAAAATTTTGCCTGGGGGAGCCGCTTCTGTTGTTGGGGCTGAGCTGGTGCCGTGAACTTATCAGGAAGCGCAAAGAGAAATGTGGCTGTTTTCTAGTGATCGTTTGCTCCAGTGGAAAAGGCAGGAGTCCCCTCAAGGCAACCACTTGTCTGTTCCTTGCCCCAAAATGGAAATGGCAGAAGGTGGTGCAGAAATAATCCCAAAAGGCAGGATTTATACCTACGTTTTAGTTGCACGAAAGGACGTGGCAAAAAAGACAAGATTTGTGCATCTTCGAACGAACTTTGTCTCTTCCCCCACTATTTTTACTTTAATGTTATTTATTTATTTATTTATTTATTTATTTATTTATTTATTTATTTGGTGAAAAAGCAAATCTGAAACTTGTCCAGAGGAGATTGTGGGGTCGCACGATAGGTAATGCTGCATCAGCCACCTTCTGTAGCTTCTGCTGCAAATGAGCAACAGGTGGTTACCGCTGATCTTTATCCTGGAGAAAAGCTTGTCGAGATGATTGATGATGATGATGATTACTATCAGTGGACTTTCACAATGCCCTTACCTATTTGTAGATACGCCTGTTGCCCCTGTAAGTTTCCTCAAGTGCTGGGGGAAGGGGGGGAACTTTATCTCTGTGTTAGTTTTTCAGGCCCCAGTTTTTCACCTCCTTTCATTTTTTACCGTATTGAACGTTGTTTTCAGTATACTGTATATCCCGCCCAGAGTCATGATGAGATGGGCATCTTATCAACGTGGTTTATAAATGCATAACTAGAAGCAAGTCTTTGGTGCAAGCATTGTGCTCATTAGGAATCTCCCTAAATATCTTTAAATGTAGACCTTAAATTATGCTGGGCACAAAAATTAAAATTTAAAAGTGCTTTTAATTTGCAAAGGCAATTCAGTTTGGTTGCATTCTGGAGAATCTCAGTGGAGCGTTCAGATTGCCGTTCCTGCTGGTGTAGATGTTTTTCAAGGCCACAGTTTAAGAAGCACCTTACAGAAGAGGAAAAGGCTCTGCCCCACGGAGGTTACAATATTAGGCAGATCAGGTGCAAGAGGGAGCGAGAACGGGCATTTCTGCAATAAGAGGGACCAGCTGACCATAGAATCAGCTGAGATACGATGAGATTTGCCAAAGGCTTTCTAGTCTTCAGGAGCAGGAGAAATTCAGTGAATGGCAAACTGCTGCCTCCTTCAGAGGACTCTGCGCCCAGAGCCTCCGTGTGCCTTTCCCAACTTGCAGTGCTGCTTCTGCATCTCCAAAGACTCCTTTACACAGCCTAGATTGTGCTTTCCACCCCCAGGAGAAAGGAGAAGGCACCAGGCCAGGCAGGAGAAGATCTGTGGAAGTGAAGAAATTGCTCTATGAATTTTTGGCAAGGGCTCTCTGGATTTTGACAGGGAGAAGAACAAACCTGAGGGGAAAATGGATGCAAAATGATCTCCCAAGACCCCAGAGGCAACCAACTGTAACCGTGCTTTGTGCTTCTCACACATGCCTGTGCTTGCTGCTATTTGACAGTTCCCTCATCAGTTTCCTACTGTGGCTCCTGTATCTCCACAAGAAGAGGCAGGGGAAGGAAAAGGAGGTGTCTGGCCTCTGCAACAGCCTCCCCCTCAAAGATCCGTATGGCTCCCCCACCACCCAGTCCTTCAAAACCTGGTGGTTCTCCTAGGCTTGGGGGCAGGCTGCTTCTTGAGCCACTTTCGGTTTTTCTTTGGTGTGTTCTGCTTGTTTTCTCTGGACGTGTACAATCCTTTATTTCACTATTCTTTACTTTTTAAAAAGGTGCCCAAGGTTGTTTGGAGTCGAGTGGCCATTAATTTAATAAAAAATGAAAAGGGAAGAGGAAAAAAAAACAGAAGTCTTCTGGACCAAGTTAAAATGCTCTCCACCACTCCTTGACTTGGCAGGAAACTATACCAGCACAGAATTTGCTGCCCCGACGGGAGAGCCCTGTCCTGCCATAGGCACAGTGCCAGCAAATGATGCTGCCTTTTTAGACTGTACAGGTTCATTAAGGAAGAGATTGGCGGATGCGCCTAACTTGGTTTCCCTTCTCTCTCACCAGAAGTCCAGCCAACAGGAAAGTATCAGCCTATCTGTAATGGTCTGTGGGAGACAGGAAGAAGAGCTGCAGACTAGGCAACGGTCAGATAAGAGGCAGCTCAGCCTGCAGAAGGATTGGGGGCCTGGCAGATGTCTCAGAAGGGACCCTCCATAGTTTCTTGGACTGTAAAGGCCAGGGGGGAGAATTGTACTTTCAGACTTGCAAGATTCTGTCAACGTAGCCTTACAATAAAGGTAGAGCTAGTACTTCTGGTGTGCTTCCTGTCTGGACTACCTCGCAAGGCTGACCCTGTGGCTCTCCTTAATGCAGGATAGGGCTGGGGAGCAGGTAGTTTAGATAGCATCTAGGCTGACACATGTCTCCATCTGTCAGGGCTGGCTCTAATTTTGCACAGCAAAACAGGCTGCTTTGAGCATGGGTTGAATGCTATTCCGCTGGAGCGTTATTCAGACTAGCACTACACACATATTCAAAAGCAGTCCGAACAACAGTGGAGAGTGGCAGGGAGGATTGCACCAAGATGCCACAAAGGTCTGGCTCTCTTTTGCCTGCTTCAAGGGGGAGATCTTACTTTGCCACCGTAGGTTGCTCTGCCTCAGGTATGGGTTGGGCAGGGAAGGAAGGCGATCGAATAGGACATGGTGAAGAAAAGTGGCTGTGAGAACATGTCCATGCCGTGGTAGGGGGCACAGAAGAGAAGAGGAGGAGGCGGCGAGAGATCAAGTGCATGAAACTGAAGGAAAGAGAGAGAAAGGAAGTGAATAGAAGAAAAAGAGAAGGAAGGAATGTGCAGATGGATTTGATGCCTTCTCTTTAGACATTTTCTTCAGTCTCAAGTCATCTGAATGAAAGAGAAAAAATTTAATTAGGCCATCATGATAAGAACCAGAGAGTCTATCCGGTAGCATCGGTGAGATGCCACGAGCTTCCAGCTCTGCCTTGCACCTCACTGCTGAGCTGAAGGCTCTCTTGAGACCCAACCTTTGGTGTGAGAAGGGTGTCCTGTTGGCTCCTCCTGCCCGTTCCTCGTGGGCGTCCTCTGCAGGTTCCTTCGCGGAAACTGAACTTGCCTTTGCTAACGTGGGAGATGTCCATCATCCAACGGTCACTGCAGGGCCGAGACTCTGGTCATCCCCGGGGAGAATCTCTGAGCGTCTAATAAACTGAGCTCAAATCTGAGATGGCCGAAGGGTCTGTGATGGGAAACGAACGTGAAGGGAAAACGGCCCCCATGCTTAGCAAGGCGGGAGGAGGACTCTTCTAGGCCTGTGGGACTCCCGGGACCTGCAGGGCCGGCTGGTGCCCTCGCCTGGTCCTATGACTTTGCACCGCAAAGTCCACCTGGCAACAAAAGAGTGACTCGGCCCAACCGGCCCGCCTTGGTTAGGGAGGAGAATGAAAGCCTTTGTGCTGTGGCCTTTACAGTGCGGGTTGCCTTTTCAAGAAAGGCCTTTGTTTTCCTAGTGCCAGGAAGAGAAATTGTCCTGCCTTTTTCCCCTACCAGTTTTCTCAACTGGATAAAAGAGAATGGTCTGTTGAAATTTCTCTCGAAGGAGAACAAAGCGTCAGTGAAATCTTGCTGGGTGGAGTGTGGCGTTCTCACGCTTATTTAATGACAAGGTGACTTAGGGATACGGGTGGCTCCCCTGACCCCCACGGTCCCGCCTCTCTCCAGCATCTGCAGCTGCCCGGGCTTCTCAACTTTCCCCTCAACCTCAAGAGGAGGAGAAAATTCCTCCAAGGAGCATTTTCCGTCACTGGGAAGAGAGTTCCCATGGAGAAATTGGGGGAGCAGCGCTCATTCCCTTGGAGCAGAGTTTCTCTATCTTAGCAACTCTAAGATGGGTGGACTTCAACTCCCAGAACTGTCAAGGTTGAGAAACACGGCCTTGGGGGAACTCAGAGGAACCTTCTGCTAAAGAAGAACGTGTAGAAGTTGGAAAAGGACCAGAGCAAATCTTTTCCCTGAATAGCAACAGAGGGAGCAAGATAGAGAGCCAAACGTCCCATCTTCCTCCTGGGAGGAACAGCTCCATCGGTTCTCAGTCACTTTCCCAAACAAGTTTTCCGGTGGTCACGATATCAAAATGGCCAGGGTTTGGAGTTCTTCCCCTCTCCCCTCCCTACCCACTTTTCTTTTACGTCATGACCTGTAACACTTCAAAGGGAGACTAAAAACAACAACGTTAGCCTCTATGGGAGACCTTTGGAGAGATGGAGAAAAAAGCAGTTGGCAAAGTTAAAACTCCAAGAACTATATTCTAAACAAATTAAAGTTCATTATGGAACAAACAAAAGAGCAGAGAAAAAAATGAACAATGTTGATTTCAAATTTTATTTTTTCTTTCCAGTTTTGAAGTAGGTCTGTTTCATCTCAAATGCCGGTAGTATTCTTTAAAAAAAATAAACAAACAAAAAAGCAGTTGGCAAAGTTGTGGGTCAAACTGAACAATCAGTTGTTGCTGTCTTATTTTGTTAAGACAGTAAACATTGTATAGTTTGTCAATGTGGTTTCATTCATGCGCTTTTGGCATTTCTTGTTTTTTGTGACTTGACTGATTTTATTTATTTTTAGCAGCAAGCAGAGTCTGTTCAAAGTAAGTGAAATTGATGACTCTTTAAAATACATTGGGGCTGTCCCACATCACTAATTAACAGTGAGTTAATTAAAGAGTTACTGTATTGCGAGAACTCCCAAAGGGATCAG